CCCTGCTGTCTTCATCAAGCCTGCGGGAATCCTTCTCTACTAGTAACAGCAAAACTCTGGAAGGTCTGAGTGATTTGGTGGCCACAGACTTGGATCCGGAAAGTCGCTCTCTTTCTATAGACAGTGCGTATGGAACACTCTCACCTCAGTCCCTGATCACAGAGCTGGACTTAAAGGGGTCGGTTTGCCAGAGTGAGGGAGAAGAGACCGATGCTGGGGAGGAAGAAGAGGCATTTGAGGATGATGAAGATGGTGATGAGGAGGATTCATTGACCTGGAACGGCTCTCAGATTACTGTAAATGAGTCCTGCATTTTAGATGGCCGTGTAAACAAAGAGGAGCTTGACCAGAAGAATGATTTTTCTGCGATGTCTCAGGTTACGGGTTGTCACTCACATACACTGCGGCGCCGTTCGCCCGTCCAGCCACGTCCAGACTACCTGCAGCACTTTGCCCTCAGGTCACGCTCCGAGGATGACCTCCTTCAATGCCTCACCGGTCCTCTCCGTCCCTCTAGCAGTAACAACATCAGCAAGAGCTTGACACACCTCGCCAAACAGACGTCTCACAGCACAGAGCTATTCCAGACAGACGAGGAAGACTTCCGTGAAGACCCCAAAGCACTGTTGAACAAACTGACGAACACTCTTAGGAGAGCAGAGTCCAGGCATGTGCAAAGGACCCTCAGCTGCCCCAATGGCCAGGCAGACTGTGAGATTAAAGAGAATGAGACACCACCCTCTGGTGGTCTGGAGGAAAAGAGTGACTTGGTGCTATCCCAGCAGCCACATCAGCAGCATAAGAAACTGACGGTGGCTCAGTTGCACAGGATACGTGCTACCATGGTGCTCAATTCAACACTGACAGCATCGTAAGTCTACAAACACACCTAATATTTCACATATTTAGGTCATATTTCACTCCTAAATCTAAAAAATATTATAAAAATAAATAAAATAATAAATAATAAAATATTATAAAATAAATAAATAAAATACATTTTACACTTTATAATGTATAATACAAAAACAATACTTTTCATAATTAGATTATATAATTCATTTTTTTATTATTATTATTTTTATTTTGCACAAAGATAAGGAAACCAATTTTAGGGTATTTTTGCACTGTGGCATAATCTCCAGTCGGTAGCTTGTTGTAATATAAAAAAAAAAAATTATCATTACTATAATTAAAAAAGTACACACTACTGTAAAAGTTTGGGGTCAGTAACATTTGTTAAATGGAGTCTCTTGCAAGGCTGCATTTATTTAATCTGAAATACTGTAAAAACATTAATATTGTGAAATATTTTTACAATTTAAAAGAAGCGTTTTAATAATAATAATTCATTACATTTATATAGCGCTTTTCTAGGCACTCAAAGCACTTTACAGTTAATATATTTTTATATATTTTATTAATATATATATTAATATATTTTAAAATGTAATTTATTCCTTTGAATAGCAAATCTGAATTTTCAACATCATCATTACTCCAGTCCCCAGTGTCACATGATCCTTCAGAAATCATTCTAATATGTTGATTTGGTGCTCAAGAAACAATTATTTTTTTATTAATATTGAAAACATTGCTACTTAATATTTTTGTGGAAACTGTGATATTTTCAGTGCCTTTGATGAATAAAACAGTTTTAAAGAACAGCATTTATTTGAAATCTTTTGTAACACTGTAAGTGTCATTTTTAATCAATTTAATGCATACGTAAAATAAATCCTACTGACTCCAAACCTTTGAATGGTAGTGTACATTTGTAAAGTAGAATTTGGTCATATTTGTTGTATTACATTTAATTTAGTGCTTGTGTCTGGACATGATGACTTTTATTACTGAGAATATTATGTCATTAAATAAAACAGGTTTGAATAAAATAGGTCCTAAAATAGGTTTTATTTTTAATGCCAAATATATTTTCAGTCGGGTATCCACAAACAAATTTAAATTCAAACATGTTGCTTGGTCCTTGTCTTTCTTCACCAACTGCACATGGTAATTTAGACATTCTTATAAACTTGCAATAAAAAGATGTCAACACTAGGCATTAGTATGTATCCCTCAAACTCTTGTCATCTCTCTAATAGTTTGCAGACAGATTGTTCCTGCATGCTGTTACAAAACTCTCCCTCATTGTCCAGACTTGCTCGCACAGCGTGTCCTCCTCATTGTTAATGTTCTCCGCAGAGTGTGGCACGCCATTAGCCATCAGTGTGGACTCAGCCCATTAGAAGACAATGTGCCCTTGTGATATAGCTTTTAATAGGTTGAGACACAGTGATCTCAGTCAGTGAGGCACAGGATAGCCAAGCCTCTATTGTCTAGCCGTCATCCAGTGCTTTTGTCCCCAGTGTCTTTTATCTAATAATCTCAGTCTCCACCCAGAGTTATTAGAGAATTGGACTTTCCGAGAGAATGACTGGATCTAGAATCCTGAGTACTGAGTTTTTCACTTTTTTTCCATATATTGTATCTATTTTTACCTTGTGGAAGGTCTGTAATTATTCCCTGATGTTTGAGTGGATGATTTGTTATTAAATGCTATGCAGTTGCTTTGAAATGATATAAAAGATGATGTGACATTACAAATATATTTTTAATTTGCTATTTATTTTAACATTTTTCTCTCTCTCTCTCTCTCTCTCTCTCTCTCTCTCTCTAGGGAAGTTTAGTGTTTGTGTAAATGAAGCTGATGCCATTAGCTGGTCTATTGGTGGGACTTAAACCAAGTCTTTGGTCCAAGACTACATCTGCAAAGATGTGTACCCAAGAGGAAGTACAACTCAGTGACTCAAATATAAACAGACAGAACCAGGGTGAACGCTGTGGAACTCAGTTAAAAGCCATGACCATAATTCAATAATTTTATATTGAATATAAAGTTAAAGGGTTATACTGTATATACAAAGACATTTTGTATAATACTTGTCTGACAAAAAGAGATTTGAGTTAATCAGTTTTTATTTAGCAATGCACCAGTCAGGGCTTTTGCAGAGTAAAAGGGACAGAAAAGAATCTCATTGTTTCTAACTTCTAACCTCTATTCCATGCATGCCCTGTGATCTATTTTCACAAAAAGTATAACTATAAACTCAGAAGCACTCTTCATCCCAGAATTTACCTGAATTGTCATTTTGCTTGAATTGTCATTTCGTTTGACCTCTGAGTCCTAAGGGCTTTTTTAAATGCTAGATGATGTAGCTCCTGAAACACCTAAAATAAAAATGTACTCTTTTAGGTTGTAGGAATTTACTGAATCTTACTTGTGATACGAAAAAGAACAACAACTGTGGACTATTTTTGCTTCAAACGCCACAATAATCAACTTGCATGCATTTGTTTTTTCAGTGCTCTGTAAATATGGTATTTATTGAACCTGCTTTGTTTCGTAGAAAATTTTTATTGTTGATGCCTTTTGATTGTTATGTTTCTTTTTGCTATTTGAATGGTTAGCACTGTCTCTGATTTGTCTATTGACATCAAAATAAGGGCTGAATGCATGTCTTATCCCTGGATTTGATCGGTTTACATATGTAGCTTCAATATTTACAGATTACAAATTTGCACAGTGCTTCTTAAGAAAGAAAAAAAAGAGAAAACACAACCTGCAAACTTCCAATTAAAATGCTTCAGATGCCAAATCCACTGCCAAAATGTGTCCGTTTTATTTATGAAACTGAATGAATGATATCATCTCTTGTTAATGAGAGGATATTCCAAAAATTGGAGTGTCTCCAAATGTTTATATCATTCCAAGCAAATCTGAACGGTCCTTGTCTCATCTTAATCATGTTTCGGTTACACTATGTGCGTATTTTTCTTGTTGTAACCTTTTCATGCAACATGGTTTTAGAATGCAGTGCAGTACAGGAGTGAGCTCTCAAATGTGAAATTGCAATATTCCAATAATCCACAAGGTGGCAGAAAATATCTACTTGTTTTTATTTTTTATCTTTGACTTCATATGTTGTTTGTACAGCTGAAAAAGAGATGTGGTCATGCAATTTATTTTTCCATCATCATAATTTTTATGTAAACCCAACTTTGAGCAGGCCGAGATGTAAAATCCACTAAGGCAATTTAATGTTCAGAAATAAATGGGCTATGTGCTATATCAATAATGACAATATCATGTATTTATAATATGGCTACTGAAATTATTAGAATCTGCTTCCACATCTTTATAGCCTAACTGTAGAAATACAGCTGTCCCACTCTCTTTGCTGGCAGACGACTTTGGGTTCTTAGAAGAATGAGGCTGTCTTGATTGTTTGTTCCCCTAGAGTTTTATTGCTCATTGCGAGAGCTGAGTCTGCACTGTGGCTCATAACCATGCGGTGAGAAACGCCAATAAACACACCACCAACACCCTGATGAAACAGCAACTGGGGCCACCTTCACTAATTATTACCAGGCCTTACACTACATAGCTATGTCTCTGGCCATGCAACTTGAATGATCATCTGTAAAATATTAAAAAATAACATGTTGTGAAATGCAAAATAAGTTTTTAATAAAAAACTGACAAGTTTGTCTATTTTATTAAGATTCATCAAATATCCTACTCATCCCATTTCACCTGTCCTAGATTGAAAGCCTATTGTGAACGGAGTGACAGTGATTTGTCTTGATTTGACAGTGATATGAAAATATATGTTATGGAAGGAAAAATGAAAAGTTTCTTTGGGGGAACGCAGACGTTTATTAGTTCGGGAATCGTTTGATCTGTCATATTGAACGGCTGTAGGCTAATAACTAGGGCCTATATGTCCTCATATAAAACTTTGAACAGTGTTTAAACTTTTTCACAAAATTCTAGACAAAAAATGGTGCAGCGCATTTAGCTAATTTTTTTTTATAAGAACTGTCTTTGAGATTTTCATATTTGCTCGCAAAACGTGAGTCATCAGCAAATATACATTTTATTTCACAGCCCTGATGGCTTACAGGGATATGAACAAAGACAGTAGCTCGGTGGTTTGTTGTTCGTGTTTAATAGGGGCAGTAGAGAGAGTGAGAGAGAGTGAGTACTGAAGGTGGGTCAGTAGAGCAGACTGCTGCTGATGTCGCTGGTCGACAAACAGCAAGTCTTCCTTCGCGATAGACGTTTGTTAGGTGAATAAAAACCTACAAATTCGGCTTTATACTGCTTTCCTCAACACATCCTAGAGTGAATAACACAAGATTATATCGGACATGAAGAACTCGGCTGTGTCCTTGTGCGCTCGAGCGCTTTTCTTGGCTCAACGTGAGTATCTGATTTAGGCTACCTGATTTACTTACAAAGTTACTGTTGTTCTTTACGCGTTATTGTGGTTCTATTTACGTTGACGTATAAATTAATAAAGATGGTCTATTATATTTAAACAGACTTCTAAAATGCTAAATTTTGTGTGGTATATATGATGGTGTGTCGCTCTTCTCTTACCTGAGTGTAGGCTATATCTTTGCATGTCTCTGGAGAGTCATTGTAAATGTTTGCGAATATTCTCTGCTGTTTAAACGTTTTATAATGTCATGTAATGGTTTTTCAGTCTGTATTTTGCACTGTTGAGACCCAGACCCAAATGTCAAAACCATCTGGCGCAGATAACTTCAAACTCGTGTCCGAGACTGATGTCTTTGTTTTGAACTAACCCAAAGCGAAGTTTCTGCTCCCAAAAAAAACGGGTTGCTCATGATATGAGCACCAAAAGTTAAGCATATAAAAGAAACAAAAAGCAAATGAATATATTTCTGGACATTCTGTGGAATGAATGCTAGATGTGGTATGAAATTTTATTTTGTGTGGAGGGGAATTCAGGTGGTGAGCATGAGATATTTGTCCATGATGGCCTTGTTTTTCTCTTCTTGTTCAAATGTCTGATCCAGTGATGGTTTACAAAGAGCTGAAGCCTATTCTTCGTATTCTCTTTGCACTGAAAACCAAGTGAATCAAGAAAATTCCCCTTACCTAACATATTGGAACTAGAGTTGCATATTTAGAAGTCAGGAGTGACTCGGGTGATTCACTTGACACAAACAGCAAAGGCATAAGGTTTTATTTAAAACAAGTGTAGATGTTTTATTATTCAGATCTACTCATCTTATCACAGGTTGAGTCAGTATTGTAAACTTATGATTAACCAGTTTTGGTCAGTTAAGACAGGCCCCATTGGCAGTTGGGCCAATGACATGTTTTTTTTGTTTGTTTGTTTTTTTCAATTAGAGCTTAATATTTTGATGTAAACTAAACTCTGTTTGAATTATACATGTCTTTGCCTCCATTTTAACTTCTAAATGGATTTGGTACATCTATTCAGCCTGCTAAATTCTCCATACACTGAATTTCTGAAGTAAAATGTTCACTATACTTTATTCACTTTATTCCCTATCTTGACCATTCAACTTAAATTAATACACTAGATTTTTGTTATAGTTTTTGTTTTGAGTGGATAATCCCATAACATTATGATTCTGCACACTCAGCAGGTCTGTAAGACAACAAAAGTGAAATCCTACCTATAGTTTAACCCATGTAAACAAACCTCAGTTACAAGGCCAATACCCAGGCCTGACAAACAGCACTGCTTTTTTTGAGTTTTCTGCTGGGCTGAGATTAAGAACGCAGGCTCATTTCTGGTGTAGGACTATTTAGGAAATAATTTTCATCAATAAAAATACAGCTCCTTATTCAGTTATATACAGTTCACTTTACACTTTCACTTCACTTTTTCCTCTGAAGCTGTTTCATGAATTTTAGAAAAAAAAAACATCAGAGCCCTGACTTAAAGAAAGTAGTTGAACATTTTCTGTAAAACGGGAGAGTGAGAGTTGCAGAAAGTTTAATGAAATCCTTTTAAAACTTATTTCATACCCATTCTGTAAATCTCTTCTAACATTTTGTCAAATGAAAGACATATTGCATGTTTTACTGTGAAAATCATCGCATCATTCCAAACTTGCTTTACTTTTTCTTGAAACACCAAAGTATTTTTCATACAATAAAGGAAGGGAAAGTCATACAGGTTTGGAATGACATGGGGGTTAGTAAATGGCACAGAATTGTCATTTTTGGGAAAACATGAGAAAGATATAGAAAGAGAGATGCAGTTTTGTAGGTTTACAGTCTCATGTGCAGGTGTTGTTTTGCCCTCAACATGTTTGTGTGAAGATGAGTGTGCATATGTGAATGAAATACGGATATATGAGCAAACAGACAAGTCGTTGCATTTCAAAGTGCTTCCTCAGCAGATTCCAAACCCTTGACCCTCTCCCTCCTCCTCCTCTGCCTTTTACTCTGATGTTTGTGGTTTCTCTAGCTTCTAACACATTATTACTTCTAACACATTACTTATTACTGCCTTTCTATTGCCCTCAGGATTTGCTGTACATTCGCAAAAGTATTTATTTTTCTCTCATTTGACACAAAATCATTATGACATAACAACCCTCAAAGACCATACGGTACAGAGATGAAAACCCATATGAAAAGAAGTATTACTGTGCAGCTTAACTGAATTTTTTTCTTTATTGTAAAAGTCTCTAAAAAAGCATTATATTTCAGTCTGCTCTTTCAGAGAAACCACTGCTTTGGAAATAATTGTACAGACCATTGACCATTGACTGTTTCAGTGATTAAGTCATCTGAATGGTAGTCACAGCTGTTAAAGACAGCTGTGCAAAAAGAACTACACTGCTCTGAATTTTCATGAAATGCTAGATGTGTTTCACATGGTTGTGAAATGTTAAAATGTCTTGTTCATCCAACAGACTGTTTGTGTTTTGTACTGAATTTCTTTAAGCATGTGGGTTGTGCGAATAGAAAAAAGTAAAAAAGAAAAAAAAGTAAACCAACCCATTTGATATAAATCTCTCATATTTTTTAGCATGTTGAAAAGGAAGCACATAAAATGTTACCACTTTATGACTAAAGGAGTGGTTGGATTGTCCCAAACCCTCTTAATGCAAGAGGATCTGGGACTATCCAACCACTCCCTTAGTCATAAAGTTCATAAAATGAAAATGGTGGTCATCATTTACTTACCCTCATGTTGTTCCAAACCTGACTGTTTTGTTCACAAATCAGACATTGTTACTTCTCTCATGAACATGTCAAAGAGAGCTACTGTAGGGAAAATTTCAGTAGGCCTATTTTCTTTTTTTGTGAACTGTCCCTTTAAGGTTGATTTGAATTGACAAAAACTTGACAAAAATGTCAGTGATCGAGAATAATTTGGATTTAGGTAATATCTAGTTAAATCTTTATATTCTAAGTGTAAATTTTACCAGAGATGACAGTGTTTTATTAGCCAGTAGTGTTTGGATTCTTCTTGTAGACGTACAAAGAGGTGTTTATTCCTGATAGTTACAGACTCATACAAACATCCATAAAGAGTCCTTCCAGACACTGTGTTGAAAAATATTGGTGCTGCTCATTTTCCTAAAATATTTGCTGACAAAGTAATGTTATACAAACAGGGAAACCTACTGTACATGGCCATTACCGTGATTCTCTATCTTTTTGTGTGTTGCTGTATTTTTCACGTATTATACCTATACAATATATTGTTTTATTGAGCTCAGAAGCCCTCAGTGGGTAGTTTCAAGGCCCAGTTTGCCATAAAACACCCAGCCTGTCAGATTAACAGTGCTGCTCAAGCGCCTGTTGAGTTTTCAGAGCTAATCGTCTCACAGTTGTTTCTAAAAAAACACAGTGATAAATCCCTTATGGTACATCTCTAGTCTTTAACTTAGTGGGAAGAAAAGCATGAGGTGGCCTATGTATTTAATTTTAACTCGTTTTTCTGTTTGCTTATTTTACAGTTCTGGCTTCATTCCTCTTCAGCCCTGGTAAGCACATTACTTAAAACTAAACAATTTTAATCAAAAGTGTATTGAGCTTATTACCTAACAGTATAAGTATCCAAAAATATACACTACCATTCAAAAGTTTAAGGTCAGTACGATTTCTTTAAAAAGATATTAATGCTATTTAGAAGGATGCAATAAACAGATCTAAAGTGACAGTTATGACAAATACATTGTTACAATTGATTTCTGTTTAATTTAAAATTAATAAATGGTGTTCTTTTGAACATTTTATTCTTTATAGAATCCTGAATTTTTTTTAGCAAGTTTTCCACATAAAACTGTTTTCAACACTGATAATAAGAAATGTACTAAAATGTATTTTTATAAACCATATGTAATTTAAAATTATATATTTAAAATATATTTAAAATGAAAACTTTAAATTGTAATATTATTTCACAATATTATTGTTTTTACGACATTTTTGATCAAATAAATGCAGTCTTTGTGGGCATAAGATACTTCTTTTTAAAAACATTTAGTAAACTTAACTGACCCCAAACTTTTGAACAGAAGGGTAACTGCAGCTGCAGGACTGAGAACGCTGTAACTACTTCAAACACCAGTTTACTGGTGCTGTAGCAATTTATGGTTAATAACAACAGTGCTGCTCCATTTACTTTGGGTAATCACACATGATAGTGCTTTTCAAAGAGTAGGCCTAATCTGTGTCCGGGAAACCGGCCCTTTGTGTTTCAGCACTAGGCCAAAGTGATGGCAGTGGCGTGGTGGTGGCCATGTACAATATCAGCGCCCCCCAGGGATCTCAGGCGGTATTGCAATGTCATAGTCAGCGCATGGTGTGGACACAAGACCGCTTAAGGGATCGCCAAAGGGTAGCGCACTGGGATTTACTTCGTAGTGGCCCAAACCACGCAATGGAACGTGTTATAGACGTGTTTTCTGCTGGAGACCAGCGTATCTACAATGGCTACAACCAGGGACGCATTAACATGCCCAAGACTGCTTTTAAGGATGGCAACTTCTCTTTGGTAATCAAAGGTGAGATACTTTTCGGCAATGTAAAGGAACTCCCTAGAAATGAGCCTGAAACCTTAGCAGCCACCAGTCAATCAGTCTGTCTTTCTGTAAGAGAACATCATAGTAAGCACCAAGTATACCTTAGCAACTGCCTAACAACTACACAGAACGCTTTGGGAGCCACCTAGCTATATCCCTAGGAACATCAAATCCATTCAAACTTCTCAAGTAGCCTATTTAAACTACATAAGGCCTACAGTAACCTTCACATTTCAGAATTTTCAGGCAAAGCCCTGATGTTCCTTTTCTAGATTCTAAATTAATACATTTTGTCTGGGTTCATACAGATGTTGCAGTGAGTGACAAAGGAATCTACTCCTGTAACCTGCATCATCATTACTGCCACCTGTATGAGTCAATCAAAGTTCAGCTCAATGTCACCAGATCAGGTTGGTAAATTCACTTCATATTTCAGAGGAGGTTTTTGTCTGGCTATTCTTGGCATTTAACCTGCGTCTTGATCAGACTGTTTAAGTTCATGCCAAATAAGGAGTTGGCTGCCGATTAAAGAATGGAAAGAATGTGAAGACCATTTGAAAAGAACATTTTGCACTCTTCTGTTCATCTCCAGTCACCAACCTTTCAAAAATATATAGAGAGTGTGTAGTTAGTATTACAATTTAAAATAACTTTTTTCTATTTTAATATATTTTTTTAATTTAATCTGTGCCTGTGATGGCAAAGCTGAAATTTTCAAGTGTAAAATTATCCTTCATAAATCGTTCTGACTTGCTAATTTGGTGCTCAAGTAACATTTCTTATTATTATTTTCAATGTCAAAAAGAGTTTTACTGCTTAATATTTTTGTAGAAACCATGAGTTTTTTTCTTTGATGAATAAAAACTAGTAAAAAAATATAGAATATCGTTTTTTGTAACATTATGACTGTCTTTACTGTCAGTTAGATCAATTTAATGGATCCTTGCTGAATAAAAGTATAATTTAAAAAAAAAATATATATTTTTATAACTACTTCTGAACAGTTATTATATATGCATACTCGTATACATGTTGCTGTGGTTTTCTCTCAGCACGTAAGGAGAGGCGGTTTTGGGATGGTCAGAAGGCAGTGTATGTAGTTCTGGTGGGCAGCACGGTGGTTCTCCCTTGCGTTAACCGCCGGCCCATCTGGACAGAGAGCAACAGTCAGGAGGACCAACAACAAGTGGTGCACTGGGACCGTCAACCTCCAGGGGTCCGACACGACCGTGCTGATCGGCTCATCGACTTGTACGCTTCTGGTGAGAGGCGTCACTACGGACCACTGTTTGTTCAGCAAAAGATGAATATTTCTGCCACAGCGTTCTCGCAGGGAGATTTCTCCCTGACCATCTCAGACATCCAGCCTCTGGATCAGGGGCTATACTCTTGTCATCTCCACCACCACTACTGCGGCCTGCACGAGAGACGCATCTTCCAGCTTACTGTGATGCCTCCGGTCCCTCAGATACCTCAGGAACCCTCAGATGAACCTCAATATCTTCCCAATGAAGACCCAAGTAAGAGAAACACCCAGAGTAACAGTAATGTATAATAAAAATCTATTCATTATGAGAATCAAGAGATCAAACATGAGAAGCATAAATTCAGTAAGGTTAATTTATTCAGCTTTCTTTATTTCAACTTTTTTACTAATCATGTACAACACTTTCACAACACACAAGATTTTCCAGAATTCTCCCAATTTATCACACAGAATAGTTGCTCCTGTCAGGAGTTCTTGTTGCTGCTTGTTTGCGCCACAGATTCCAGTAAATATTTTTCTTCTGAATGCATGTCTGCAGTTCATAAAGTGTGTCTAAAATTGTTGTCAGCACTCAATTCACAAGTTGCATGTGGATAAATGCCAGTGCAGACCACTTAAACAGGTAGAAGTAAATGTAAGACTAAAGAACGTCCTTCTTGGAGCATCTTCAGCATGTTCCTGAAGAAATGTGATGATTGCTATATTTGCAACTTAGAGCCCCAGGCTAGGGAGGGAGTTCTCCTGATTTAATTAGCCTTTCTTTATTTGTTCTTGGTTCTTGGTTTGTTTGTCATTTGCTTGGATTCACAAGAGAAAGAGTCAAGGGTTGATGCTCATTACTGGTCTACACTTGTTTTATAGAACAGTTTTGTATTACTTAGTCAGCATTTATTGAGCCAAAGAAAAAAACACCCACCACCCTGGGACTCCCTCTTATGTCTTATGAATGTAATCAGTATTGACTAAATAATAAACAAATTTAAGAAAAAGAAATGAGAAAGAAAATAGGGTGGATGTAATCACAGTGCATGAACTTAAACAAACAATCCTGACCTAAAACAGTCTGCAGATCTGGTTACCCTGTTGTCTGGGTTACCACGTTCACATTCATTAAAATGCAGCAGCTCTCCTTTAAAGCTTATTCTTCTTTTGCATCAAGCACGCTTCTTTTTCTCTTGCTTTTTTTTCTTTTTTTCACTTGCATTCCACTGCTGTTCCCTCACCCGCTGTAACAGCTCGCTTTCTCAGTTTGAGTTCTGCTCTGGTTCGGATCATTCGATAGCCATATGTTTTCTTTTGAGGTATTGCCAGGCAGACAGGAGGATAAGAAAGTGCTTTTTTATTTGCATAAGACAGGGAGGTAGGCGATGTGAATTGGGAGATAAAAAAGGAAGGAAATATATAAGAGACAGAGAGGAATTGATGCATAAGTTTTAATGATTTTTTACAGAGACAAGAGAGTTGGGGAGAATGACGGGTGGGGATTCAGCAGAAAAACCACTAATAAGAGAAAGTTGACCCTAGAATACACAAACCTCTGTGGAATCTTGTGGATAATCACAGACTTTTGGGCTAGAAAGAAAAGCACTAAACACTTTCTCCACTGCTGAATTCATTATTAAAACATAATATTTCTACATGGCCTTTTTTTGGCAAAAAAAAACAAACAAAAAACTTGGGCATCTGCAGTGAGTGCTTATTTATACATTGTGTTGTTCTGATTTGCAGTGTCTGTATTTTGTTTTGATGTCAATTGTTTGTCTAGGCTCTCTTCCTTGAGTTAAAGGGATAGTTCTGTCATCATTAATCACCCTCACGTCATTTCAAACCCATATGAGTTTTTTTTAATGTGAAACACATCAAGGAATCTTTAAAAAGGCTGTAAAAGCACATTAAAATATGTATAAAAAATGATATATATAAAAAAAAATTGTGCTGTCAAATGATTAATCGCGATTAATCTCATCCAAAATAAAAGTTTTTGTTTACATAATATATGTTTGTGTACTGTGTATATTTATTACGTATATATAAATAGACACACATGCATGTATATTTAAGAAAAATATATTATGTTTGTATATTAAAAATATTTATATATAAATTATATAAATATATACATGTAAATACATGTAAATATTTTCTAAATATATACTGTATGTGTGTATTTATATATACATAATAAATATACACAGTACACACACATATATTATGTAAACATAAACTTTTATTTTGGATGCGATTAATCGCGATTAATCATTTGACAGCACTAACAAATAAATAAATAAATAGTCCAAACAACGTGTGCACTATATTCCAAGTTTTATGAAGCCTTATGACACGTTTGTGTTCGGAACAAACTAAAACTGTCGTTATTCACTGAAAAACGATGCTCACCATTGCGTATTTGTGAGATGAGTAGCTGTGACTGATCAAGTAATCATTCTTTTGAGTCATTTGATTCATTCTTTTGAATCATTTTGAAACATTCTTTTGATTATCCTTTTTGATGAATTGGTCAGTCTGGTTCACACTGGTCTGGCTGATTCATTCACGAGATCTCAAGTTTCAATGACCCAGTTGCAGTGGTTCAGCTCGTTGGAGGGGAAGATAATCAGTGACAAATGACTGAAGCAGTAAGAAGAAGAAGAAGCAGTAAAAGAATCATGATGATGATGAACAAAATTTCCTCAACACCCCTAGCTATATTTTGTTGTGTTGTACTGTGTGCGGACTGTTTACAAATGTCATACAAATTGGCAGTCTATTCGTTTTCTAAGCTTTTCTCTTTTAACTGTTGCTAAATAGCTTTATGGTTTGAATGTATCTGTCCTTTTTTTCTTTCAGTCTTTCTTTCTTGTTTTCTTTCATGATTTTTGTCTCCTCCCTTGTACATTCCATTTCCCTTCTTCTGTTTCTTTAATTTTCTGTTGATCTGTCTTGCCTATGTCGCTTTCTTTCTCACTTCTCACTGCATAGTTTTCTCTTTTTTGGCCACACTCACTTTTTTACCCTCCGTCTCCATCCTTTCTGGAGTTTTTTTGGACAGCGTCTTGTTTATCTGCAAGAGAAGGCAAGTTTGCTTCATCTGTAAAGCATCTGGCCAGCTGTAGATAGAGCTCAACAACAGACCGTAAGCCATAAGGAGGAGACTGTTGTAGATTTAGGTCAGCCCACCCTCAACATCCCCTCATTCCCCCTTCAACCTTTTCTTAAGCCGTCCAAAATATGTCAGTCCTTTCTTCTGTCTTGTTTAAGCATGAAGAAAAAGACAACTGTCTGGATCCAGCACAGCCATTACATAAAACCATTTCCTTTTAGGACTTTTCATAATTCTGTTTATCCTCTTATAGTTCAGCCATTTTAGACCAGGTGGTTCTAATCATGTGAATCACTCACTTACAGCTTTCCCAGGATCTGGCATATCAATAGCTGTTCAAAAGTTGCAAGCTTTGAGCATATTGATGTTCCCCTATGGTCTTAGAAGCAGGACAGTCCAAGAAAAGTCCCTGTGGAAGCCCTGTTCTGGTTTGTTTGGCCCATAAATGTTCAGCTTTCATCGTGAGCCCAAACTCAACATCATCATAAACATAGCTATTCATGGAGACGTCAGTTCATGAACAAGCAGGAAAGAGTAAAGACTGCTTCTCAAGATCTGGAAGATGTTTCATTGCTTTTGTGCAATTTTTTTTTGTATTATTATTATTATTATTATTATTATTTGTGACATGAACATGCAAGGGAAGTCTGAAGCTAAGCAAAACACATCTTTTCATAATAACTATAAATCACTGTTAGGGAAATACTTTTGTGGAGAAGCTTGTTTGTTTTTTAACTGAGGTGAAAGATACAGAAATTCATGTGTTTTCAAAATTACGTAGTTGCCATTTTAGTAAAAATGCTTTTTATTCAAGGCAAAAATGTGTGACACAATACATTATATTGCTCTTTACCACGGCTCTTGAATGCCAGTAAATAGTCATATCCGGCCTTTTTATGAGATCTTCTGAAAAACGAGGGTAGAAGACCCTTCAGCTGTTACTGATTACAGTAATCTACCCTACGATAGTAGCCTGTGTTCCCCTGAGTGCTCTGGGTTCAAACATATACAATAAGAGGTTAAGATTGAGATTATAGTGCAGACACTGTTCTTCACAGCACAGGTAACAATTACTTAATGGGCATGTTTTAACACAGTAGTAAGCAGGATTTGCTTGTTTTCACAGAGAGTGGGGGGTACATTAGAAAGAATTCATTACAAACATTTGTAATTTGTAGTGGTCTGATATTACCACTATTATTGTTTAAAAATAAATTTTCATGTTAATTAATAAAATTTTAGATACTGTACATCGCTATTCAAAAGTTTGGGTGGTTTTTGTAAGAAGTCTCTAAAGATCTTTAAATAATAATATAACAACTTCATGGCAATAAGACATTAAGAAGCAAGAATCTCTGATTTTCAGCCATGGCTCTTTTGTAAGGCCCAAACATAATAGTCTCTGAATGATTTTCCACATCTAATAACACTACTCTTCTACGACTTATGATATCATTCAGTATTTTGTCATCTACTGTCGTCATTTTAGGCTGCGTGTCTTTATTATGTCTCTATCGTTGAAGAAGTGGTGCAACATTGGTTTGTTTTTTTGATTTATTAAATTTTCCCGTGGAAGCAAAATGATAAAGTCATTCAATAAAATGGACCACATAGAACCTCCCCATTTCGTCCAATCCTCCCTCTGTTTTCCACCACTCTTCTTATTTAAAGCCATGTTTTCCTGCCAGAAAAAAAAAAATCTCATTCTAGCTGAGAAACACGTGGCAGTTTCCGGTCTTTCTTGCAGAATTCAGAGTGCAATTAAAATAAACAAGCGCACTAACTCTGCTGCTTAAAACGAAGCATTTACATTCGCACACTTGATATTTTTGTCCAAAGCCACTTAGAATTCATTCAAAGTACACATTTATCAGTGTGTGTATTTTCTTAGAATCAATCCCATGACCTTGGTGTTGCCAATATAATGTTTTGAACTCCAGAAACAAGCAATGCATTCTCTCAGCTCCAACATCTGTTTTGCCCTAATACCAGATCTCTCTGTACTGCTTCTTCAGTTGTCTTTAGCTGAGGGTCAAGCCCTTACAGGTTGTAGCGCAAGAAAGATGAAAATATCCAATGAAAAGGGAAAGACGTGCTGTAGACATCGGTATTAATCCAGCTCTTATGAATATTTGTTAATTATCTGCTCTGTATATTTCTTTCTTTCTTTCTTATTCTTTTGTGGAGTTTGGTGTTTCAGTTATTTTTCACTGGAAAATGTATTATGTTTATAGCAGGTTAATCCTTGTTTTGTCGAAATATATTTTATGTAGTATTTATTTTATGTCATTTATTTTATAGACTATGTAAGCTGATGGGGAGCCGAATAAATAGCTCAGGAGCATAGATGATATTGGTCTCAGTTCTTAGAGGGCATGAAATCAGATTATGATTCAATCTGTAATATCTCTCCTTCAGGAGTGCCGAAGTGTGCTTTTTCACAGCAAAAGATTCTGTGTAGCATAAGTCTTTGTAAGTAGCACAGGGCCCTCTGGTGGTTACTAAAAATGGCAACAAAAAAAAACAATCAAGTTCAATGCCTAACTCCTCAATATATATTATATACTTTATCGTCTTTTCTTTTAGACACCTACATGGTAGAAGTGCCGCCACATGTAATCAATGTCATCTTGCCAGAGCAAAGGAATCACTTCCTGCAGCAGCTGGGCTACATCCTGGCAACTCTCCTCCTACTGGCCCTTATTGTGTTGGCTATCGTTCTCCTGACACGTCAACGGAAAAGACAAGGTCTTTTATTGGTCCTTTCCATCTGTCGTTTTGCATTTTATTCCTCTAAAAAGGCAAATAATTATATTTCAGGTGTCTGAATGTAACTGTGGATAAAATTGTTTCTTTGTGGCACTTCAGAAGTGTCTTTCAACCACACACACACACACACACACACACACGTGTATATATATATATATATATATATAAAACGTATCAATATATGACATTTGTATGCTCAAATATTATGTACACTGTACTTGATTTAATATTTACATTGCATTTGTTTTGTTTTGATTAGGCCTAGATTTTGATCCACGAAAAGTCGAAAGCCCACCTCTGCCGACGGTGACGTATGTGTGAGTATCCACTGATGTTAAAACGCCATCTGTGAAGTGAACATTAGTTATGCATAAAGCATCAGCTGTCAATGTGTGTCATATATCTAGGGGCCACACATCATGTGTTAAGAAAGAATGTGAGCGAAGCATCCCAGAAGTGAAGTCAAGCAACCAAGAGGAGACGAAGTTGGGTGAGTTTACCTCATATTTCTTCTCAAAATGCACCACCTGTGAAAAGAGTTGGACAAATATATCTCTGTTCGTCTCCGCAGACTATATATATATATATAAAACGTATCAATATATGACATTTGTATGCTCAAATATTATGTACACTGTACTTGATTTAATATTTACATTGCATTTGTTTTGTTTTGATTAGGCCTAGATTTTGATCCACGAAAAGTCGAAAGCCCACCTCTGCCGACGGTGACGTATGTGTGAGTATCCACTGATGTTAAAACGCCATCTGTGAAGTGAACATTAGTTATGCATAAAGCATCAGCTGTCAATGTGTGTCATATATCTAGGGGCCACACATCATGTGTTAAGAAAGAATGTGAGCGAAGCATCGCAGATGTGAAGTCAAGCAACCAAGAGGAGACGAAGTTGGGTGAGTTTACCTCATATTTCCTCTCAAAATGCACCACCCGTGAAAAGACTTGGACAAATGTATTTCTGTTTGCCTGTGCAGAATACAAGAACAATCTTCTGAAGGAAGCGAAAATGTCCAAACTTTGCTCCCCAAAAGCCATTGACCTGGACAGAGGTAAAATCGTGGGTTTTGATTGTTTTAATGTATTTAGAAATAAATAAATGCAGCCTCGGTGAGAAGACTTCTTTAAATCAATCAATCAATCAATCTCAGCCCAAACTTTTGCCACAGTAGTGTGCAAACCAAAATTGCTCTGAAATTTGATTGTCTTCCAAAATTCACAAATTCTCTCTCTTTAACTTTTTTTCTCTGCAGAGATGGAGAAGCCATCTTGGAAATAAGAGGTACTTTGCCACTGGCTGGTCCAGGGGCAGATTTGGTCAAACTTGGGGTGACTTTGGGATGAAGAATGACATGTGGCGAGTGACAATATCGTAAGGAAATAAGTGAAAAGGAGAGAAAGACAGTTGTATAGTTTTTTTCCTGACTCAAGATGCTTCATATTTTTTTGCTCTTGTGAAGCTTGCAGGAAGCACCAGAGTCTCAACAGCAGTATTTTGCAAGAAATATAGTCTGCATGTTTTACTAAATTTGCCCAATCCTGCCACACACTTTATGAGTGAGAATTAAACACACCCAGAATAATGTGTCCTGAGTGTCAGAATGTTTATACTGGTGTGAGATTTGGGCTATGTAAGGATGAGGCCTGGCAGAGGCTGTGACATGAAATGCTAGCTCAGAAGCTTTATGTGAGGAGGAACCTTCTTATTCATTGTGGAATCAAAAAAGCTTTGCCGTTTTAAATGATTTTGTAATTAAAAGTGCACATCTGTATGGTACAAATATTGCAGAAGCTATTGCTACATCACACAATGCATTTTTATGCTTTGTTCATGTTTTTTTTTTTCTTCCTCAGTACTTATACTGCTGATCTGTCTGTGTATCTGTGGTTATGTAAAAGCTCATAATTTAGCCCAGACTGGATCCTGAATTTAATATGCTGGTTTTGTATAACAGTTTTAAACATGGTAAAATGTTAAGTGGAAATTAAAGTCTACATTCTTATTGGTATATGAAAGCACAGCCAGTTTAGCCAAAATATTTAATTAAATAAGTATTTATTTTTCTCATTTTGATGTTCTATTCCCATTACTAACTGTGTTGCCACTTAAAGGCTACATTTCCTTTAGTGTATAACATTTTCTATCACAATCTTCTGTTACCTGTCATACTCTGTTATCAACTTTTTCCATGTTATTGTTTGTATATTTTCATGCTTACTTTTCTTGTTACAAACCTTACTAATTCCCTTTGTCACATTTTATTTGAATATTCTAGCGTTTAATGTATTTGCTTTCTTCCATACTTGCAGCTTTGAGTTCATTTGAGATCAAATAATTAAGTGGGAAACTGATGCAAATGCATCAAGGTACCTGTACAACATAAAAATTTAATAGCATGGCTATGCATATACATGATAGGTGCAAACATTTCTTTTCTAGTTTGCTAAGATCAGTGTTATGTAATGTGTACTGCTTTATCTTAACAGATTATTATGGTGAAACTGAAGCAATGCTTTTGCCCAGTATAATGTTTATATGACACTCAGCCACCCTTTTAAATTCCTCAAAGGCTCCAAATAAGAATGTGTTACTACCATTGATTGAGGTTGCAAGAGGAATTTGCTGGGTAGACTACAATGCTTTTGGTACATAATGCCACATAATGGATACTTGATCATTCCCATCCTGACGCGGTTATTGATGATTTCATTTTCAGTTCACTGCCAATGTTCTCTCATTCAAAGCAGACTAAAATAAACACATTTTAACCTCTGGGTGATCTTTTGCATGATGTAGGTGGTATTTTTTCAGTTCATCACAATTGTAGGCTCATGTGCCTGTAATGTAAAAGATTTATGATGCTCAAACAAAATCAAACACCTCAGTACTTGAGGGTTTTGATACTGGAAATCGTTAGTACAGCTATTTGCTTATTCATGACCCTAATTAAAATCTTTACTCATTTGCTCAACAAATTAGGAATTTCCCAAAATAAGACTGCAGCTGATTTTTGACAGACATTTCTCGTAATTTTACCAAAAGTCATATCAGTGCTGTTTAAACAATTAACTCATCAGAACAGAATTTAACTTTATCATACAGCACTACACAATTTACATCACATTGTTTTTTGGATTCATTATAAAAACTATTTTAAATGAGCATACTGGGAACTGAATTGTTTTTTCTACCATTAACCATAAAATGCAAGCAAATTTATTAAATACAAAGAAACAGAAATTGATTCCATTTTCTGTAGGGGAAATCAACACTGATCAGTTTTTTTAGTTGTGTACTATAAAAGTTGCAAATAAGTAATTTATACTGATATATATATATATATATATATGCATTTACAGGAGTTATTTGAATTAATGTGGATTTTCCATTTTAATTCTTCAAATTCTAATTTCCTTTTCAATGCTTCGATTTGAAATGAATTTGAATTCAATCATAAACAGTACAATTCTAAGTTGAAGAAGCATATTTATTTGAATTTATTTCAATGTTCCATTTTAATTCTTTGGTAACAATTTACAAACTTTATTTGTTCAATAATATCAGTTAACTGCATTAGTTAACATGAACTAACAATGAAAAATAGCCTACTTCTAAAGTATTTATTAACCAAAGTTAATGTTTCAACATTTACTAATACATTATTAAAATCAAAAGTTGCATCTATTGATATTAATTGATTTTAAGATAACATGAACTAACAACGAAGAGTTTAATTTGATTAACAAAGATGAATAAGTATAACATATTGTTCATTGTTAGTTAATGTTAGCTAATGCATTAACTAACGGAAACTAATGGGACCTTATTGTAAGTGTTACGAATTCTCCAAATTCGAATTTTTAGTTTACGGCTTTAATTCAAATCCAACTCGAATCCAGATTTAGAGTGCATGGCTGCTTTCTAGCACACGATGGCAGCACTGCGCAGAAGAACGGCTCGGATATTCCAGGTTGATTCTCTCGAGGATGTGAACCTTTCCTTCCTGTTTCAGTAACACAGGCAGCGTATCCTCCGCATAGTGGGCTGCAATAGACATATATCAGGCCTCCATAATGGCTGTGTTCTTAGCCTTTGCGTTACAAAGTCGCTTAATTCATAGCTTCAATCGCGCCAAATGCGTGATTATATTAATTTAGCATCGTTATTTTAGACATTTTATTTATTGTCGCCGCGCGTCTGTATAGACGGCATCAGGAGCACGCGCTGTTCTCTGGCAATTGTTCCCACCATATTCTCATGGCGGAGACTAAAATCATTTACCATATAGACGAGGAGGAAACTCCTTATTTGGTGAAACTGTCAGTAGCTCCAGAGAAGGTAACTTTGGGAGATTTCAAAAATGTCCTCAGCAACCGACCGGTCAACAGCTACAAATTCTTCTTTAAATCTATGGATCAAGATTTTGGGTAAGTCGAATGATGGGAAGTGTCATTGTATTCATTCATTAATTGTATTCAGTCCATGGTGCGAATGAAGCTGTCATCGTGGCAGGGATGGTTTGTCATCATTAGCACCTGCCTGTCATTGGTGATGACTGTATCATCTCCTCCTTTGTGGGATCAGCATCAGAATACAGTCATGCTCTTAGCTGTTCAGTATGCCATAGCACAACATACTGTACGTTACATCTTTTTGCTTCTTTGATTAGCATGGTAACCGACGTTTGACCTTTAGCAAGAGGAGTGAGAAAGCAACCAGCAATAACAGACAAAAAATGACATTAATCATTGACTGATTCCTGATTCTGATTTTCTGCCAGTTTATGAAATCTTGCTTTACAACCTTAAAACATCTTAAACCAGCCTAAGCTTGGTCAGGCTTGTCTAGTAAGTTTTAGTGTTTTTTCCCTGCTGGTCAGACTGGGAGACCATCTTAAATCACCTACGCTGGATTTTCTACACCTCTATATGTGTCTGCATGGACATTTGTGATGTTATGCTGGTGAGATACTTTGGTTGGATTTTTTTTTTGTCCTAATAATGCCAACGCAGTGTGCATCTGAATGCTGTTTCAAAGGATATTTTGATCAGTTTGGGGCTCTGGTTGATGCAGGTTCATTTAAAGTGTTTAGATTCTTGTGGCATGAAAAAGCTAAGGTGAAGTATTGCTGAGTAACATTATCCACTTTAGTCTTTTCAGAGCAGTCTAATGTGATTGTCATCCTAAATTAACACTTTCCACTAATTGGGTACAAACAGGACATAAGTAGGATCATCAACATATGGTCAGTGAAAGGAGATGCTTTTGAAACTGAAATGTTTAACTTCAGGACCTTTTTTTGAAATGCAGGCACAACTAAATATATATTTTTGTTAATTAAAATGAGTTAATAATTTTATTGTACTGCTCAAAGAAAACAAAAATAATGCCTTTATTCAACAATTTCTTCTCTTCCGTTTCAGTCTTTTGACGCACGTTCACGAGAGTACCACGACACATGCGTGTGGTGCTGCTGACGCAGGAGCCGGCGTTCTGACATAGAACGTCCATCTCTCTTAGTTCATCATCTGTATATTCTGGTTCAAAAAAGTAAGACTGGGCAAAAAAATTGCAAGTCTTCCTCTCTGTCGAAATCTTCAGACATGTTTATGAAGACTGTTTTATGTGCAGCATCTGTCTTCCTCTGCTGTAAACTAGGCACAGCGCATCCGGGTTGTACGTCAGAAGGCCGGCTCCTGCGTCAGCAGCACCACACGCATGTGTCGTGGTACTCTCGTGAACGCGCTTCAAAGACTGACACGGAAGAGAAGAAATTGTTGAATAAAAGGTTATTTTTGTTTTCTTTGTGCACAAAAAGTATTCTCGTCTTGAACGTGGTAATTGCATTGCTCTCTATGCAGGGTCAGAAAGCTCTCGGAATTAATCAAAAATATGTTAATTTGTTTTCCGATGATGAACGAAGGTCTTACAGGTTTGGAATGACATAAGGGTGAGTAATTAATGACAGAATTTTTGGGTGAACTAACCCTTTAACGTGACATTAGTTCTTGTAATAGCCACCCGACTGTCTTAAGTTAGAGTTTCTTAGCTTCCTGCTGCTACATTGACATTAAATTCACCTGTATCTTTGTATTGCCTGATAAATTTAATGTACCCTGGATTATTTATCACAAAACTTTGCTTTCTCATGAAATAAGAATTTCCATTGCAAAGTACAGATTAGGCGAAAATGTACCAACATCCTCACTGAACCATTTCATTTAAATACATTTACATTTACATTTATTCAAATGCATGTGTTCTTTTCTCAGGTAAACGCTCTTCCTTCTGTAAGGTACATGTACATGAGTTGGTAAAAGGTCACAGGTGACTTATTTCTGTTATGCAGTACTTTTCATCTTTGTAACTTAAAGGGATAGTTCACCCAAAAATGAAGATTCTGTCATTAAATACTATGCATTATTACATATGCATGAGTTACTAAAGGGTCACAGGTGACTTATTCCTGTTATGCAGTACCTTTTTAAATTTGTAACCTTAGCTTTTGCATACAGTATGTGTTGCGATATAGAGTTCCGTTTACTTTAGCAATCCTTGTTGCATTATTTTCCAATGGTGACTTTTTAAAAATGGGGAAAGCATGTGTCGCTTTTTCCAAAGTTTTATTAAAGGTATCTCAGTGTCCATTTAGATTCTGGTTCTTAAATTACTGGTTTAGATGATTTAACAAGTTTATACAAGTCTTCCTCTCCTACAACAGAGAATGAGTGGAATTGTTCCTCGGGAGATCTATAATGTGCTATCTGATGTGATACTGTAGCTGACAGCTGCATGGTTATAATTTTATCTCTAATAGTATCGATTTTGGAAGTAAACAAGTTCATAAAGTCTTACTGCTGTCCTTTTGGGAAATGTCTGCGTGTGTTGATGCTTTATTTTTCGTTAATTTAGCCACTGTATTGAATAAATACCTGGGGTTGTGTTTATTTTCTTCTAAAAGAGATGAAAAGTAAGTAGAGATGTAACGGTATGAAAATTTCTTATCACGGTTATAGTGGCCTAAATTAGCACGGTTATCAGTTTTATCACGGTTTTGTTAAAATGTGCTGGAAATGTTCAAAAAGTACTGACACATAAATTGTGTTTTGTATTTAAAATCAACATACAATATATAAAAATTACTTTTTGTTTGCATAAACACTAAAACAATAACATTACCAATGATGTCCAGATTTTAAATGACAACATGACTGACACCAGTTTATCTAATAGCATGTACGAAATGTTCAAATAAAGCTTTGGAAAAAGTTTCATAAAATGGTAAACCTCACATTTCAGCCTTTAAATAAAGAAAGGGGTTAAGTCAAAATGATAAATGATTAATAAAGGATCATATGTATTTTATCTGCTCCATAAATAATTCTAGATACCTTATCCGAATTGTTTAAATGTGTAGAATCTAAGCTTGTTTTTCATCAACCAGTCAAAATTTACAGCAGGGCATGCAAATTCGGTCCGTTTTTTGGCCAGACAAAAATTGCACACAGGCTGAATGTAAATAAAACACTGTAAATCCACTCTCTGACACTAGGTGGCGCTAATGGAACAGCTGAATTAGAGCTGTTTCCCGTAACCTCCGTTGACAAAGCAGCACTGCAACAAGAACACTACTTTAT